GTTAGTAGTTCTCCGGCCTCTCAACGTCTGAGGATGGAGAGGAGGTGTTATTAAATGGTCATGATCCTGAGTTTCTGTTGTTTCTTCATGTTTTCTTTAAATAGTTAGATATATATATATATATATATATATATATATATATATGGCAAGATCAATTATATAGTAGCTGAAATGTCATGTGAGAGCTAGCTACGATCGTACTCATAACAATAACAACGAATAAAAAGGGGATATATCTATGTGTATGAAACTATATCCCATTAATTAAGAAGTTGTATTTTTCGTGAATTATATCACAAGACAGTTTTAAAGTCTATTTTGAATTTTTGTTTATTTTTTCGGGCCATTCTTTAAAAATGTGCAATTTAGGCCTCGTTCATTTCACCGATTCGCGTTTTCAGTTTTAGATTTCTACAGTAAAAAGCTCTCAGAAAATGTCAAATCTAACTTTTTCTGCTACAGTGAAAAGCTCTCAGAAAATGTCACATCTCAACTCGAATTGAAAACTCGAATTCGCGAAGTAAATGAGGCCTTAGTAGGTAAGTAGACTTGATCTATCGATTTAATTAGTGCTTTTACGCTGATGAAAACAATATCTATATACATCTTATTTGAGAATTGAGCATATTGGCTTTAGTAAATTAAAGCTGACATAAGCTCTTTAAAATACTTACTAAATTAATTATTTGTAACCCTAAGCGACAGAATATTTCAAACAAAGAGTAGATGTTCTGTTTATTGTCTACAAAAAAAAACGAAGATTTCTAAAGGAGATAGACTTACCACCAGAGCTGCTTAAGGAAATCATGACTAAATGTGATGGTTAGCGGCACAATCCGACGGCTGAAGGCAGCCAGGATTTAGGAGGGTGATCAGAGGGAGAGAGAGTAGAGAGATTTTGTGATTAATTTTCAAGGAAGATGGAGAAGGAGGTCGAGTTCGAAACAAGAAAAATGTCGAGTGGAAGAGAATCGCCTAGGTTCTTTATTCCTAGTACCTACCTTTCAATCCATCGGAAAAAATAAGTGAAATACCTGTTTATTTCACCAATTCGAGTTTATAATTCGAGTTTTGTTACAGTAAAAAGCTCTTCAAAACAATCACATCTAACTTTTTTACTACAGTAAAAAGCTCTCACATAAAGTCACATCTCAACTCGAATAAACGAACTAAACGTCTCCTAAAGCAATCAAAACCGTGCTTATAGTTTCCTAATTTCATCGGGAACGAGTAATGCAATTGTCGTGTTGCTTAGGGATTTGTTGGAATGTTTTACGATGAAAGTGTGATTTCATCTCTTTGCGATGAAACCTCCATTAGTAAAAGTGTTAGAGAATGACACATTATTGAGTAACGGTACATTAAATTGCCCTCGCCTTGTGTTGGACGTTAAAAGAATCTCAGATGCATGCATGTACTGACTTAATAGTACTTGAACAACTCCAATATTGTGCTAAATTCCCCTCAATTTTGAATAATGTGTACAAAGTTGCATAATCGACGCTACATGATTACCATATATGTATATATATATATATATATATATATATATTTGAATGGTACGTGATTGCAATATTGCGACAATAAAATGCTCATACTAATTTAGAAATAACATTTTCACATTTACATATGTACATCACCATCCTCCATACATCATTTCTATTCACAAGCTTTAAGGTATTTTTGTATTATTGCAAATATATATACTCGCATGAATTTGTACAAGTACGTTACTCTCTTTTAAAATATAAATTTAATAAATTACATAAGAATTTATTGGTACCGTGTTAATCGTAAAGTATAGTGCACAGTAGTTCGATATTGATAGATTATGAATAGCTTTTAATGAGAGAAAATAATAGTTTGCAAATAAAATTTAAATGATGGAAAATGAATTTCCAAATATAACACAATTTGACATGAATGTGTAAGAGAATTCCAACTTCAAATTTAAATTATTTGACATGAATGAATCACTAAATGCCCAACATTGAGAAAGCCCGCAAAAATCAGCAAGGCCTTGGTCCGACATCGATAGTTTATCAGAAAGAACGGCGATTTAGACTACGTCAATTATAAATTCAGCACAACATTTTGATTTGAATCTATAAAAGTTGTAATGATTAAATAAAAAAATAAACATATCAATCAATATAAATCAAATGTTAAATTTATCATATGTTATATTTAATAAAAAATTTATGATAAAATATATTATATAATAAATTTAACACAATAAATAATATTATATTAAAAAATATTTTTTATACTTAAATATTAAATTTATAATTAATACATTAATTATAACATTACATAATAGCTGTTCTATAGGCTCGTACTCTGTGTCGTTGAGTTCTAAGGAGACAGCAACCTCAATCTTGTGGATGACTCATTTCACTGTGTGACCGTATGATCAGCGCATGATTAACGACTTGATGGTCATCCTGTCATCTTACCTGTAGAGGATCGTTCTCAGTTGGCTTGCTGGCTGGGATGGTCACACTGTTGGCCAGTAAAAATGCAGCACATAATAGTTTGATATTGATTGATTATGGTCCCACTCATTTTACCGATTTGAATTTAAAATTTAAATTTTATTACAATAAAAAGTTCTCAAAAACAGTCACATCTAACTTTTTTACTACAGTAAAAAATTATCGCATAAAGTCACATCTCAACTCGAATCAGCGAACTAAACGGACTATATATGATAACAAACGCTTTTAATGAGAGACCATATTCTAAAAATAAAATTGAAGGATGATAAAATAATTTAAAATAAAGCCATTCAATTTTCATGAATGTGTACTTATTAAAGCACAACATTTTTTTTATAATTTTTTTGGATAAATTATTAGAGCACAACATACCATTTTTTTTTTTTTTGAGCAAAACAACATACAATACAATATTTATATTTGTTTCCCAACTCAAATTCTTAATTGTGTATATGAAAAAAAAATATTATAATAAAAAAATTAAATTTAAATTTTTATAAGAGAAAATATTATATTAATAGAATTTAAATTATAACTTGAGTTGTGATTAGAGTTACCAAATTATGAAATTGAATAGTACTATAACAATTAACGTGTTATTTTATCTCACCTCTCTCTCCTTTCCATTCGGCAGTGTTTCAAAGTCCGTTAGGATGGCTTTGTTGGCCTAATGACTAAGGTAATAGCGAATCCAAACAACACTTTTTCATGGGCTCTTTGGCAATATTTTTTCGGGAGAAAGAGGAAAATAGGTTAAGATTTGAGATAAATTAAAATTAATAGGTCAATAATTTATATAAGTTAATAAATATGTCAAATTACTATTTTTGTCCATAATTTGCCTGGTTATGAACCATAACTTGACAAGTTATTTACTATTTTTGTCCATAACTTGTCTAGCTATGAACCATAACTTGACAAATTTGTCCATAACTTATTTGGTTATGTGGCCTATTAATTTCTATAACTAAAAATTGGCATATATACTTTCTTAAGCTTTTCATATTGACCTTTTTTCTACTATTTCCGTATTTTCCGGAAGTTTTTTTTTTTTGAAGGCATATTTTCCCAAATTTCAATGGTAGAGTTAAAATAAAATTAAAAAAAATATTATAAAAATAAAAAATTTAATATCATTAAAATAATAACTATATCATTATATAGTACAAATTTTGACATCATTATGAGAATGACCATTTTAATTTCCTATATTTGTAATATTTTAAAAATTTTGCTTATTTTCAGCTCAAGTTATGAAATTTTACCATTTAGTCTAATTATCTCTTTTTTCGTAGGCTACACTATGAGCCTAATTCATGGGAGATACAACTTCTGAAAGGTAGTTTTAAGTTTTTAACGATATGTTTGAAACTCGTTTTAAAATAATTTTATTTTTTATATGAAAATGGAAATGAAAACGTTTTCGATCTCAGACAGAAATTATTTTTAAAAATGTGTTTGATAGTTTTATCAAGATATTATTTTTAGTATAAAAACCCATTAATGTCTCTCTCTCTCTCTGCTCGAGAGAGGAGAAAACGAAAATAAAAAATGAAAAACGACTAAAAGTCATTTTTCATTTCTCTCTCATTTTACACTAAACTAAAAAATCGCTTTCATTTCTAATTTTTGTCTTTAATTGTGCCAAAAGCTGTTTTAGAATCTTTTTTTTTCCTCAAAAATGTGAAAAACAAAAACAAGAACAACTCCAAACACGGCATAAATGTCTAATATGTGAAAGTTTCATGAGCGAGCCCAATTCATGGGGAATACAACTTCTGAAAGGTAGTTTTAAGTTTTTACATTTCTGATATGGGAAAGTTTCATGAGTTACTGCTAAATCCTCAATACCTTAGCTATTGGTTTACTTGCCATTACACCCCTGATTTAATATTATTAAATTTTGGTTAAACCAAGAAACCACTTATTCACTCTTATTTTGAAAAGGAACTAGTGGTTTAAGAAACCCCTAATTTATTTATCGTGAACCACAAATTTTAAGTTGAATTGTCATATTTTAAAATAAACACAGATTGTAAAATAACTAGTCTACTTTTCAGTAAATAGTGGCATGAAAGACTTCTATGGTCGGTTTTTGCCAAGTTTTACAACGGTCAATCAATGTTATAACAATGGGTTAGCACTGATAAATTAATTTATCAATGATTTATTGATAGTTTATCAATAACATACCTATAAAATTATAAATTATAGCTGATGTTGATCTATCAATAATAAACCATCAAATTAATTAGTAATAAATTATTAACTTACTAAGTGATAAATTATAAATCACTCGATCATTTGATAAACCATTTTAACAAAACTTAATAAATAAGGCTTAAAACTGACATTTACTTGAATCCCTTAACATTAGAAGATGATTATCTTATCAAGAAATGCTAGGGTCAAACCTAGATATTTTTCACCCTCATCTCTTGTCGGTTGGATCATCCGGTCCACTAGTAGTCCTCATTTCCTGAGAAAAATTTTAGGGTATGTTTAAATCATGCGTTTAAGTCATTGATTCTAATTTATTAGTGGAAATTTTGTAAGATAATTATTGGTAGGAGAATTTTGAATTTAAATTTCCAAAAAAAAAAACGCTAGCAAAATTAGAATTATAAGGTTTAAATATATTTGCTAAATAGGCACTTTTAGTCCGTTTGATTCACGCGTTTAAGTCAAATAATTTTAATATGAATTTAAATTTTATAAGAGAATCTATCAGCAAAATTTTTTTATTTAAATTTTTTTGTGAAAAATATAATGAGAATCATAAATTTAAACCTTAGAACTAAACATGTACATTCCTTATTATAAACTAGATATCGAAACCAGACGGAAACGGCAGCCTGCCAAGTAGTAGGTTTTTTTATTTTTTATTTTTATTTTTTTGCTATAATGTATTAGTTTATTAAGTAGTTGAATATAATATATATATATATATTAGTATGAATTGAAAGATATCGTCAACTTGGAAGAACTTTCATGATAGTTTGTTTCCCTTTATTCAGCACCGTGGAAATGAGGACATGGAATTTGATTATTAAAACCCAGTAAACGGAAGGGGCAGCTTACGTAATAATGCTGCGCCAGTAAATTTATGCTGGAATCGGCGGTCCAATTTGTATTTATACATCAACTTGTCAAGTTCGTACAGCCACACGGCTGCTATAAGTATTCACAGACTTTGACTTACGATCTTTTTGTCAAATACGTCTTTTTGGCCTAATTGTACTGCTCTTGCTTGATTTATAATTTAATTAATGAACAGAAATGATGAAAAGGACTAGAATTAAACGGTTGGTTTGTTTAGTTTGTTGATTTAGTGAACGTTTAGTTTATAAATTTAAAATTATTTTATTTTATATGTATTTTTTATAAAAAAAAATATTATAACGAATCACGAATTATAATTCGAATCATAACATAAATCTTTCTTCTAAATGCATGCTTAAATTTTTAATTTGATTTGATATGTGATTTTATATGAGACTTTTTTACTATAATAAGAAAGTTAAATGTCACTGTCTCTGATAGTTTTTTACTGTACTAATGAATCGATAAAATAAACGAGATTCTACAAATTCTACTTGTTATCCATTAGCTTTCTTTTATTCGTAATACTGATTAGGAGCTTTCTACGACGGCATTACTCTATCACTAGACGAAAGTGCGTGTTTATAAACATTTAGAATACGTTTGATTAGAGGATTCAAACCATGTGATTTGAATCATTTTCGATTTACGTGACTTTTTTATGAGAGAAAATATTGTAGCGAACCATGAATCATGATTCGAATCAGGGAACGAATCCCTCTACCAAACATCCTATTAATCTAATCAAAATTCAATTGAAATGAAAAATATGTAAAAATGACGGAATTTGATACTGGAATAACGATTTTAAAATAAACCAGGGTACTTTTTTCGTTCTTACATGGTTAACGTGACAGTTATCACTTGAATTTTTATCCATTCTGTTTGTTTACCACTCAGCGTTGCTATATATACATATAGATATAGCTCGTGGTGGCATTGAAAAGCCAAATATATGTTTATATCGGTTTTGCTTAGTTATGGCTTCCCATTAGCCTTAGTGACAAAGCCAAGCACCAAGTGGTTTGTTGTCTCGACAGCACCGCGAAGGGACAAATTCCATGAATATGGACAACCATGATATACGATTAAAATATTGATTCGAGTTTTCAATTCTAATTTTATTATAGTTAAAAAGTTTTATAAAAAGTTATATTTAATTTTTTCTGTTACAATTAAAAATTTTTACATAAAATCATATCTCAACTCAAATCACTAAACTGAACGTGGCTTTAATCATGCCCGCTTCCTTAACAGGGCTAAGTCCTAATTCCTAACCCACTTGAAGTTTTATTTTTCTTTCATCTTTTTTTTTTTTTTTGGTCTTGTTCAGATATAGATTGTTGTTTCACCCCGGTTTTAATTAGGGAAGGGAGGAGGATATTTTTATGAATGTTGATAATAATCCCTTTTTTTTTATAGGTTATGGATAACTTGTTTGGCAAAAGGTGAGATTTATATATGCATCTTCAATTCATTTCACGTACATGAGAGATCTATTGTGATGCTTGTTGATGTTGGGTGGTTTCCGACACCAATGTTAAGTGGATAAAAAATAGTTTAGGGAGTCCATATTGTTAAAAAACAAAAAAAAAAAACAAAAACAAAAACAAAAACAAAAACAAAAACTTTTTTTTTTTAAAGTTATGTCCCTCCCTTACCAATTTTACATAACAAAATTTAACAATACATACTCATTTAGTTCGTTGATTTGAGTTTAGATGTGATTTTATGTGAGAATTTTTTACTGTAGTAAAAAAATTAGATGTGACTATTTTTTAGAGTGTTTTACTGTAGCAAAACTCGAATTATAAACTCAAATCAATAAAATGAACGGAACTAAAATAGTTAAATCTCTTCTTCCCTCCACCTAACTTTTTTTTTCTTTTTACTTTTTTATCTTTATTTTTTTTGAATTTTTAACATTTCATTTTTTTTGTGTTTTTTAAAAACATATTATTCCTCACTTTACTTATACGAGAGTAATTTTTTTCACATGTCTTCTTATTTTATTTTTAACTAGTTAAAATAACTTTCTTTAAATGTGTCCGTACTTATTTTATTTTTGTGTCAATTATTATTTTTACACATATTTCTTTTTATAATAAATTTAAAAATCTTTAAATCGTTGTATAAATGAATTTCTCATTCTTGCAATACGTTACAAAACTAGTAAGTGAAAAAAGAAGAAGAAGAAGAAGAAGAAAAAGAAAAGACGCGTTTGATTATTTCTGTTTTTTTTTTTTCCCTATTATGGGCAGATGTTGATCTCCTTTAAATATTAAAAAACGCAACATAAATTTATGGAAAATTATATGCGTCTCTATTTCTTTTTGCTATTTTAAGAATGCTACAGTACAGAAGATTCTTTAAAATCAGAACAAGGTGAGTACAATTTTAAAAGGAAAAAAAAATAAGGGGCACAAAACTAAAAACGAAAGTCAAGTGGGCATATTCCATAATTTCTCTTTGTTATATTATTGTTTGTTTAGTCCGCGGCCCAGGAATCTTTTTGGGCTGTACTGTCGTTTACACATCAAGGCCGCAACCTGGCTTTCAACAGCAAATTCAAGCCAAGCCGAGCCATCCCTTTCCAAGAAAAAAAAAAAACTCACTCACAATTCAATCGCTTTCTCTCTCGTCCCTTTCTCTCTCTATAAATGCCACCATAGCCTCTACTAAACATATTTTGATTCTGTGCCTCGCTTTCGCCGCCTCCCCCATTTTCACATCATAAAACCCTCCTTTTTGTGTTTTCTCTTTTCTTAGTCCGATCCTCTTACGAGCTCTAATCTGCTTCACTTTTCTGTAAGTTGATTTTTCTTCTCTGCCTCTTATTTACTGTTTTAATCAATAGATCTGTGGTCATAGCATCTAGGATTTTGATCGTCATGTGTTTTTCTTATATGATTATTGATCTTTAAGGGGTTTGAGATTTTTATTTTTATTTTTTTCTTTTCTTTTCTAGAATTCTGGTATTGAGTAATATGATTTTTTTTTTGTTTTTAGATTTTTTTCCCTTCGACTTATCAAAAGTCGTCTCTTCTATTAGAGTTTTTACCTCATTTTGGACGGAATTTGCATGTTAAATTATAGACTTGTATTTGAGCCGTACGATTTATTTATTTTTTTTCTCTCTATTTTTCGACATGCAAGCTTTCAGACAGAGAAAATCTGAAGCTTTTTTGTAGATTTGATATTTTGTTATAGGTTTTCCATCTAGACTATTGGGAATCTTGAAATTACTAATTGGAATTTGAAATAGAAATGGGCACTAATTAAAAAGAAAAGACAAATAAACGTATAGTGGTTGTTGGCATGGAGCCTCGAGTGAAGGGCAGAGAGCCATGAGCTTGCTTCTTCTCATAGTGCTCCAGATATCAAATGGCCTTCTTGATACCGAATGGATATTTTTGTTTCCATTTTTGTGAATTTTCAGTGGGCAAACAGTGTATTGCTTCTTCTATAAATCTTTTTTTCTTTTAATTATTATTTTCTATTGCCTATTTGTTACCAATTTCCCTTTTTGTATTACTGGTCTTAAATCTGTTGACGTGGGGGTCTCACATAGCAGCAAAAGAAAAAGAGAAAATACAATTAGCTTTCCTTTAAAAAAAAAAGGGGTAACAAATTTCAAAGGGGTTGTGAATTTTATCCAATTATATCTCTTATAAGATTTCATTTACTTTGATTTTAGTGAGTCTTTGATTAAAAATAGAGGTGGGCAAGGAATCTTTTATTGTCCTAAGCTGGTTTTGATGCATATATGTTGATATGCATATACTTCATCATATAATAAGTCCGATTTTGCATTAACTGAATATTTGTTGATGATGGAAGTGTTGATATTTGCTTATGAATTCAGGTACAATCATGTCAACCATGTCAACCGTGTCGACTGCCCGAGTTCCCTCTCGTTGCATGTTTAAACTTGTGCCGCAGAAGCAACTCACCAGTACCATTGTCAAATGCACGTCTGGTCTCGGATCAACAAGGAACGCCTCCAAGAAATTTGGCCTAAAAGCAGCCCAATCTTTTAAGGCATCAATGGCTACGTACAAGGTTAAGCTGATTTGCGAAGATGGGACAGAGCACGAGTTCGAGGCTCCAGACGATTGTTACATCTTGGATTCTGCAGAGAATGCGGGAGTCGAGCTACCTTACTCTTGCAGGGCCGGGGCTTGCTCTACTTGCGCCGGGAAGCTGGCCTCAGGCACCGTTGATCAGTCCGATGGCTCTTTCCTGGACGATAAGCAGATGGATGAGGGCTACTTGTTGACTTGCGTCTCGTACCCGACTTCGGATATCGTGATTCACACTCACAAAGAATCAGAGCTTTACTAAATTAAATGTAGTTTGCTGTTGGAATTGAGTAGGGGACTTCGGAATCCATTTTCCAAATATTGGACTTTTTGGTATGTTATGGTATGTCATTTTCTAGAGATGTTTGACTTGTTGTGTTGTGTAAGGCCATCTAAGTTGAACCCAAGCAATGCTTATTCTCAAATGCCATCTGGGTTTCAAAGTTTTATGTCCTCTAATGTTTTGCATTCAACATTTTGGCCATGTTTAGAATTGATCCCGTTTTTATTTTTTACGTTTTTTGAGAAAAAAAATAAAAACGTTTTCAAATACGGCGTTTGGCGCAATAAAGACAAAACAGAAATAAATACGATTTTTTAGTTTAGTGTAAAATGAGAAAAAAATAAAAAATGACTTTTAGTCGTTTTTTATTTTTTTGTTTTTATTTTCTTCTCTCTCGAGCAGAGAGAGAGAAATAGAGATATTAATAGTTTTTTATATTAAAATTAATCTTTTGATAAAATTACTAAACGCGTTTTTAAAAATAAATTATGTCTGAGATTGAAAACGTTTTTATTTTTATTTTCATATAAAAAATAAAATCATTTTAGACTTCTAAAAGTGCCATTTGTTTCTTGAGCCATCAAGGTTCATGCTTCTTGTTTTGCATCCACATGGTCCAGCGTTCAATTTCTCAATTCACCTTCATGGTGAAAAGTCGCGGTTTCACCTGAAGGCCCGGGGTTGGTTCAAACTCGAGCTTGCTAAGCATGCCTGGCGGGTTGGGGATTGAAAAAAAATGAAAACGTTTGAGGGTATATTCACTACGAATGAGAGTATAAAACACTTAAAAAAAAAAATAATTGACCAATTTTGCTATGTGCAGGATGTCCACAGCAAGTGCAGTTATTCAAACCAGATTTTGTAGTATTTTTATATTGTTGCCCATAATGTCTACGTTCAACGTAGTAATAGAAATCGTGACAGAGCCAAAAAAATTTGTGTACTAGGGGCTTGTTTTTTGAGAGTAAAACTCAATAAAATTTGAACTCAAGTTATAATTTTATTTAAGTTCATATTCGTTTGTAAAATTTGAGTTTGAATTTAAATTTTAACTTGAGTTTAGGGCTAAAATCTGAGTTCCAAGTTTCTCCTTCAACTCAAGTTCTTAAACTCAAACTTAAGTTAATAAATAATATTTTTTCTATTATTAAAAACGTCATCTTTTTCGTTATAATTCCGATTGAGGTTATTTTTTTTTCTATGCGTTCACAACGAAGAGACGAATAAAACTTCACCTATATATCCTATTAAAATTTTTCATCACCATTGAGTGTTTATTAAAATACTATCTAAATACAAATTCAAGTTTTGACCCACTCAAAGATTCTCAATTCAAATCATAACTCAAATGTGCACATCTAAACACAAACTCAAGTTATAACTTTAACTCAAGATCTACACTCAAATCACTATAACTCAAAAATGCAATCGAACAAACCTAATTTTTAGTCTACCTTAGACAAATAGTGACTTAAGCGATCAACGAAATATGTACTTAAATAAACAAAGAAACATATTCAGCAAAATTAAACAAAGAAACAAATAAATAAATGGTGATGAGCAATGGAAATCAACAAATCATATTGGTTCAAAGATGGACGTCTGTACTTTACTATTATTAGCATTCTAATTTATTCCGTCAAACTTTTGATCCTTCGTGACCAAACTTGTAGAGACCAAAAATTATAAAAAGTAATAATAATAATGTAGCCATCTCTGACCGCAACTGGAAATAAACCTGGTCAAGATACAGCAATTGTACTTTATAAACGGAAATAGAAAAGTTTTGTATTCAATCTACATTTCAGAGACCAGAAGTGGACATTGCATAACGTTAATTAACACATGATTTTTCAGACGAACTTTAAAAAAAAAAACGTGAATTGACATTTTATATATGACAGGGACCATATTTTTCACATGGTTATAATCAACCAATTGCAAGAAAATGTTGATTTAGATTGTACCGACACCAAATTTAACAAGAGTCAGAAATTAAAATGGAAGGGCAAATATATATATATATTCGAGTTTAGAATTTGAGTTTTGTTATAGTAAAAAGTTCTCAAAAACAGTCACATCTAATTTTTTTGCTACAGTAAAAAGCTCTCACATAAAATCACATCCCAACTCGAATTACAAACTCGAATTAGCAAAATAAACGGGAGCTTATCCAAGAAATAGCCCAAATGATCCACATCACACAAAAGTTAGTTTCACTTTTCCGTTTAGTTACACTTAACACTGGCCTAAAGAAGAAACTACATCCTAATCTTATTGCTTTATCACAGAAAAATTAGTTCCATTTTTTCTTCTTAGTCCTCATCTTATTGCTTAAAGATTAATTTAAACCTGATAATGTGCTCCTCCATTTTTCTTATTCACTATGAATATGTTCGCAATGTTTCACGATGCTCACATGGATGAACTTACTCATGTTTATGCTGAATTGTGAAGAGAATTCTCAAGTCCCGTTTATTTTACCGATTCGAGTTTTTCTACAGTAAAAAGTTCTCAGAAACAGTCACATCTAACTTTCTTACTACGGTAAAAAGCTCTCACATAAAGTCACATCTCAACTCAAATTAAAAATTTGAATCAGCGAACTAAATGGATTCTTAATAAATTTCACCTTTTAGTTGTCTTCTCTTGAAGATTTCTTTTGGTGGTTTTCTGTTACGTCTATGATTTCCTTACATTAACTTTCTTCTTTCCTTTTGTTTTGAATCTCGGACAAGGATTGCATTATCTCGAGTTTTACACTTGATTTATTTATCTCGACGCAAAATCAAGTGAAAATGTCTGATGTGGTTGTGACATTTGATTTGTTCTGTGATTTAGCTACTTTGCTGTAGAAATATATGTGTGTACTCACATATATTGTGGCATTGTTATACAGAGATTATATGATTTTTCTTAATTTTATTTGCTAGTCCATACTTGACAAACATTTACACTAATTGGTTCTTATTGAGAAGTAATTAGTTTGTTACTCAGTTGTACACTTGTCACTCAGTGATTGGTTGAGGTCAAAGTCTGTTAGACTTCAGCAATTGTATTTAAGACACATAACAGTACACTTTGTACAGTTGAGAAATTAATAACATAATACAGTTTTTTTCAGAATTAATAGTCTGTTTAGTTCGTTGATTCGAGTTTTTAATTCAAATTTATATGTGACTTTATGTGAGAACTTTTTACTGTAGTAAAAAAGTTAGATATGATTGTTTTTTAGAGTTTTTTATTATAACAAAACTCGAATTCTAAACTCGAATCGATTAAATAAACGAGCCTTATTTTTTAAATTTCCTTTCTGTAGTTTTCTCGAAATCAAACCGTTCTTAGCATATGTAGTTCGAGTATGATAATAAATTACATTCCTCTATTTTATGTGTGTTTTTTTTTTTTTTTTAAATATTTCTTCTCTCCTTTACATGAGATTTTCTGATTTCGACTATGGATTTAATTCTCTTTTTGAGACCTTCAGAAAGTATATGACTTTCAAGAAGGATTACGCGACAAGCTGCTTCTTTATCTTCTTCACAAGCTTGTGAAGAATGCACTGCATTTTGAAGAAAATGTTTGAGGATCCACTTCAAGTCGGGGATGTTTGGTATTTAGATTCGTTTCCTGATTCGAATCATGGTTTATGGTTCGTTACAGTATTTTTTCTCATAAAAAATACGCGTAAATCAAAAATAATTCTAATTCATGAACCAAACGTCTCCTGTGAAAGTGGAAGATTTGCGGAACAAGGCAAGTAAGACAACAACAGTTTTTTTTCCCATTAAAATAAATATAAAAGCGGATTATGATATGTCCAAGTACTATTGTATACCAATATTTACATTAAGAAAACTGCAACACAAATATCAGCAACCCGCGATAAGAGTTTTAGTCGGAGCCTCCACTTGCTTTGTAGCAGAAGAATTTTAAATTTTCATCACATATTAGAGGAATATTATCAATCTCAATTTTCTAAAAAATTTTAAAACCTATTTTCACATCAAACTGATTAGATATCATATTAGTCCCCTTCATCTAGAAAACAAGATATAAATTCAACTTCTTAAACGAGTGTGGATCCCTATTTTACAGTGATGCGAAATTGGAGCTAAAAAAATTGGAACTTTGGGCAGAAAGGGAAGTAATTTAAGGCCCCGTTCATTTCACCGATTCGAGTTTTGTTATAATAAAAAGCTCTCAGAAATAGTTACATCTAATTTTTTTATTACAGTAAAAAACTCTCACATAAAATCACATCTCAACTCAATTCAGCAAACTATACAGACCCTAAATTCTGAATATCAATGCCTTTGATTTCAATTTATCATTTAAGAGGGAATGTTATGGTATTGTTCTTTTGGTGCTGAAATAGTTACCAAGTCAAAAAGTCGAAAAAAAATAGGGTAGCCTGTCAGACAACCATCAACCATGTGACCATCCCCGTCAGCTCACTGCCCAAGAATGATCCTCTACTGTTGAGATCATCACGTGATCATCAAGACGCTAATCACACTCTCGCGGTCATGATTCATCCACCGAGTTGAGATTCCTGTTTTCTTAAGTCCCGTTTATTTTACCGATTTGAGTTTTGTTACACTAAAAATTTTTTATAAAACAATCACATTTTTTTTTTGCTATAGTAAAAAACTCACAGGGCCCGTTTAATTCGCTGATTTGAGTTTTTAATTCGAGTTTTAGTTCGCTGATTCAAGTTGGGATGCGACTTTATATAAGAGCCTTTTACTGTAATAAAAAAATTAAAAGTGATTGGTTCTTGACCTATTTAGTTCACTGATTCAAGTTTTTAATTCGAGTTTTAGTTCACTGATTCGAGTTGATGTAACACCCTGAAGAATTAATTGAGATTAATTAAGGTAATTGAGATTATTAGTGTGCCTAATCTGATTTAATTAATTGAGTTTAAATAATTCCAAGGTATTTAAATTATTCACAGTAATTTATTTAATCCAGAAGTGTGTATGGGCGCATTTCTGGACTGTTATATTTTACACATGTCACTTTCTTTTATTTTTCTTTTCTTTTCTTTTCTTTTTCTTTTCCCTTTCTTTTCCTTCCTTTTCTTTTTCTTTCCCATGCATTTCTCTCTCTCTTTCTCTCTCTCTCTCTCACACACTTCCGTGCTCTCTCTCTCCCTCTCTCTCTCCCATTTGTGTCTCAAATCAAAACCGGATTCGAACCAAGAGTGATTTCAAAGAGTTTTCAACGTCAAGAGAAGGATTCGAGGTAAGATTACTGAAAGAACCTCTCTTGAACCTATGTTTTTTGGATTTCCAAACTTATTTTTGGTTCAAAACGGATTTTGATGGATTTTGAGTAAAACTAGGGTAGAAATTGGAGATCTTTGGTTATTTGGACTTGTTTTAGTACCTAGAACCCGGATCTAGTGGTTGTCCCTTGAGATTTTGTGAATTGGGACTGGATTTGCAGGTTTTTGAACTGATTTCCGTGAGTTTTCGTGAACTGGCGTTCTCCACCGGTCGACCGCATCGGTCGACCGGATCTTGCTATGGCCACCGGCCGACCGGTCCGGTCAACCGGATGCACACCACCGGCCGACCGGTGGTGATGCACTTCTCTATCACCGGTCGACCGGTGTACACGGGGTTTTACCCTGTTTGGCCTAAAATTGTTGTTTTGACCCCTGTTTTCGGGGAAAACCCAAATTAGCTTCATTTGGGGACTTGGGATAAAAGGATTAGCATCTTTAATCCTTGTTTAAGATTGAAAACCCTTGGAATTGATCATTGAAACATGAAATCTGATTAGGGCACACTAATAGGAAATCTTGGTATATGAATGAGATTGGATTACTTTAGGACTGAGAATTGATCCTAAAGTGTCGTTTTGTATCAGTGCTCGCTGTGGATTCAGACTGAAGGGGCTTGAGGAAGCGGAAGCCGGAAAAGGGCAACGCTAGTCCCAGGTTTGATTGTGCGAGGTAGGATTTCTATCCCTTTTCCTTGTGAGCCTGTTTTCAAAAA